GGCGCCGTCACTACACTCCACAAATCGAAAATATCCCTCGATATGCAATACCAAGTATTACCTAAGTATACCTAAGTAGGTCATAGGGCAAGTTATTTTTTGTATAAGGTATATTATAAAAATAATACTTGTACATGTGTACTATGTACACGATTAGTAGTCGAAATAATGCTTTGATTTTCATCTTCAGTCATCTTGTTCAACGGGAAAGTGAATCTAGTTGGTACTTTTGGGAGGTAAAAATTTAAAATTTCCATTAGCTTTCCAAAGCGCCCGGAAAAACAAAATAAAAATTAAGGTTAAACGGGAATTTTCAAGCAAAATCGTTTTTCCACAAAATCGATTTTGGTTTTTGGTGAAACTCTAAAATAAATGAACATACATATACATATACATGAAATTTTCACTGGTGGTATATATTTGCATTTTCTATACATTAAAACATTTTCAAAATATTTTGACTTGTTTTGAGCTGTTTACGGATATACCTACTCAGTTTCCATCTTGTTTAGGTTTTTTTTTTCTATTAATGTCAATAAAACGTTATTTGTTGTGTAAAAAAGCTTGACAATTTAATACAAAGCTCCTACTATATTGTTAAAATGAGATTTAAAAAATATTAAAAATCCTTAGTCACGGTTTTTTTATAAACATTTAAAGTTCAAATCTTGAAAAAATACGGGAAAATATACTTAGTAATATGATAGGCTGTATGATGGTCTTCGCTCAGAATCGTTACATAAGCACTGTATATAACTCTCAACCTCCAACACAAGCTAGATTGCTTACAGGAGGTTAATAAACCTTAATATTATTTTTAAATTGTTTAATTAATAATTCTTTAGTTAATGGTATTTTATATTCAATTGTAAGAAGCATCGGCAAAAATAGGGGAAGGGGGCTTTAAAGACTAAGTATGCATTTTTTTTAAGCTTATTCAATATTTTTATAGTAGAGATTCAGTCCCCCGCAAACCCTCTAACGCTATTTCCGCCTAACCTTTGGAGGAGGTTGAGTACAAGCAATTCTGTATTAGGTAAAGATGTTTCTAAAATCTATGGTTTATTTAATGAAGGCATAAAGCAAATGATAATTTGCTTTCTGATGGAAAAAAGTGAAGACACAATATATTGGTTAACAATGATTTTAATTTGTATTGTTTTATACAGTGGCGTATTTAGGAATTTGTAATGGGGAGGGTCCAGATAATTTTCAGAACACAGAGCCACGGGGGACGAAGCCCCCCACACCACCCATTTACTCTTTTTTAAATAAAATATACCATATTTATAAGACGATATAAAATTGTCGAGTTTTTAATTATTAAATAATATAAATATGTACAAAACGAATTTTAAAAAAAGCGGGTAAGTGGATGTCACTCTGCTGCTGTACAGTAGGTTACAAGTGGGTCAATGTATAATGGATTGTATTAAACTTGAACTCAATGATATAATATCAATATCATAATATCATTGTATAAGAAAAACCGGACCCCATGGACCCCCCCCCCCGTAAATACGCCACTGGTTTTATATCTATTAAAAACCTAAAATAAAGTAGAAATAAAAAGTTAATAATATTAAAATAATTTAATATCATGATTTCAATTTATAAATAATTATTGAAACATCAATTTTTGGATAGGTAGGTAGGTAGTTTAAATTCACATTTAAGCTATGAATATATGTCCCATGACTCCCATGCGTAAGTAACAATAATTAAAATTGTGATTATCCCCATGCTCTAAAGTGGCATAATATTTTATTTTTTTTTTTTATTTAAATTAATATCGAAAGATTACTGGGCCTCACTGAGGAAAAATCGTATATACTAGAGTTACTTTAGGGTCATTAGTCATTACTAAGGTTACTCGTCACTAAAGTCATCAGTCATCATATTATGGAATATATATGCTATATTATAATATAAACTTATTAATATTATAATAGTGCTTTCTAGTTTAAGCCGATCCTTTAAAGGGATCTTTAATAGTTATATGGATGCTGGATACTGTAGATACTTGATAAAACTAGAGAAGACCAACTCGAAAGTCGGGCAATTAAAAAATTTCTATTAGCATTCCTTTGAATGCACTCCCCCCCCCCTCAACGGCTCCCCAGAAATATTTAGTGAAATGCGAATGATTTTTTCGTGTTGAAAGGGCATCAGAGTAGGTAGGTACCTATTGATGTTCAGTGTCGAGTCTACACTGTAGTCGTATTCAAGGTTAAAGCTATATCATAACTGTACATAGAATCAAAATTCAAATATCGATTAACCACGGTTTAATTTTTTATCGTATTGAACCCATACCTTTTTTTGTTTTAAATGAGCATCTAGTATATATATACTAAATGAGCATCTAATATATATATATATATATATATATAGGTTTGTCTACTTACAATTTATTAAAAATATGTATTTTAGTCATTTTTAAGTGAAATATAATTTAATTTATACGAAAATATACATACATTTCGGAATGATGTATATCATCGTATATGTTTTCTGTTGGGAATAAAATATAGTTTGTCGATCTCTTATTTTGTTTCATTTTTACCGAATAGTACTAGATATCCTGTTTAATAAATAATAATATGTTTATTATGATATAATGTATTTAAGCTACACTATAGTTATACAATACTACACTAGATGCAAATTATTAATGTAATAATGAATATTTAAATGTTGTAATAAACAATAGTAAATATTGTGTACATACCTACTGCACTGTGAAGTCATTTTCATCTCTACCACATAGATTTTGAGTTTTACCACAGAATGCCCCCCCCCCTACCAAGAATTTACCTTAGATTATACCTATGTCTATAATTAAAGTAGATTTTTAGTTTTAAGAAAGCCTATTCGGTAAACTCTCATATTTATTTACATTATTGTAGCATGGGTATTGAAGAATTGTTTTTTGTTTAAATTAGAAAAAAAAAGCAATTATTGTTAATATTTACAGTTCTATCAGGAGTTAAATCCTTGTCACGTTTTTTCTTTGCTTTTTTGCTACTTCTTTTTACTTTTTTCTGTTTCTTTGACCTTTTGATTCGAATAGCATTATCTTTATCAAGTGCATTTTGTAAAATCTCAAGTTCAGCTCTCAAATTTACATCAACTATCTAATTGTGAAAAAAAAAATTTTATTCAATCCAGCAGTCACATGATTTTTTTTTTTATCAAGATTTTCGCCAATTTACCTTTCGTAGTTCTCGTTCTACTTCAGCTGCTTTTTGAGCCTTAACAATGCTTTTAATATGCATTTGACTTGAGTTTTTTGACTCGTCCATTCCTTTCCATACTTCTTCATACTCTGAACTAGCCAACATGAGTTCTTGAAGAAAATTTGAAGGTCCCATTTTGAAACCAGTCTCTTCTTCGTCAGCTTTTTTTTTAACTTCCTCTTTTGACTCTTTTCCCGCAATTGATTTGCTTTTATGACCTAACGAAAGTTATCACTTATATAATATTACATACGCACATTAAACTTCTATGATTTGAGACTAAAAAAATCAACTAACTAACTCTTGGTTCCTTTAGATGATGACTGGCTAGTTGATTTACTATGAGAACTGGCAGTTTTGTATCTAGTATAAATTACAGCAGATCCACCACTTTCTTCAGATGGTAAATCGGGAAATTTACCAGTTTGTGATTTCACTCCCATGTACCATGCTCGAACTTCGTCTCTGATATCTTCTTTCATTTTTTCCTTCACATGGTCACTAATCTTTTAAGTTTCAATGTTTAGATATTAAATTATTAAACCATAATAAATAAATAAATAAGATTTATACTTTTTCTTTTTCCTGTATTAGTGCTAGTTCGTATTCTTTCTGTCGTTTAGTTTGAACAATCCTTCTGGCACTCTTAACGTCTTCAGCTTTTTGTTGTTCCTCGGTATCAATTGAGTTTGGGGGTAACATGCCAATCAGCAACATTTCTTCAACAACTCTACTTCTAATTTTTCTCCTCGTTATAAAACCTCGCCATACTCTCTGTATTTTCATCGCAGCTTTTCTCGCATTATCACTAAGTTCCACGTCTCCAGCATCAGGTTTATTCATTGCTCTAACTTCCTTCATAAATTGAGCTCTCATTCGTCCCTGCCGCGCCCTCTCGTGCTTTTGTATCAATAATATCGCTTGTCGGATAGGCATATCAACTTCAATTTTCTCTTCTTCGTAGAAACCCGTTTTCTTCAATACCTCATCAATAAAATTACTTTGCCATTCAATTGTTTTAAGCCGCTCATTTCGATAATGTGATGGTATTTTCAATTCTACATCTTGTGGTAATAACCCTAGCTGTGCAGTTGCTGAATCCAAGTACGTAAATTCATTATAGTTCAAATTGACCATGTCGTTCTTTAATTCCAAATAACGTCCCAAAGTCAATTCCAGAATGTTTCTAATAAGTATTCGTTTCTGGGGCTGAATAACTTGATCATAACACTCATCCAGTTTATTAATGGCTAGTATATAACTGACCATGACTGTCGATAACTCTTTGAACACAACAACTTTATCTTTATTAGTTTTAGATGTAAGTAGATTTGAGTCATTTTTTGTAGCCTCATCCAGTGTTAATTGAGCTTGTGCCCACAATTCATTATATGTTCTGTAAGACATTACCAAACATTTAAAAATGTTTAATAATATAAAAATAAAAATAAAAACAGTCAATTTTATTTTTATTATCAACCCTTTAGTTTTTCATGTTTAATCAATAACAATGTGTAACTATGCCTATGCTCTGTCAACCATAACATAACAAACTAAGGGTATCTAAATAATAGGATAAATGTTTTATAAGATTATTCAGTTATTTATTATTTCTAACAATTTTTTAAATCAAAGAAAATATTTTAATATTATATTTTGTAATGTATATTATATTGAAAATATTTTATACACATTATAACATAATCAATATCCATAATTTTGGATGTGTTTAAATAATAACACATAACTATAAACTATAATTTAATTACTATCATCTTTATCAAGTCCAAGATCACTAATAAATGCTTCAGGATTAGGGTCTCGTCCTTTGAAACGTCTGAATATTTCTCCAGATGGACAGCTGCCACCAAATGCAAAAAAGGTATCTCGAAAACTAAAATTATTAAATAACAAAAATGTAAAATATAAAATATTGATTGTGATAAAATTCAAGTATTACTTATTTCCTAAATTTTTAGTAGTTTCATCTGGAGCTTTAAATGATTGAAATACATCAGCCGCTATTATTCTAGACCACAATCCAGAGTAGTAACTTGCTGCTCCTTGTTCATTAGACATAACTTCAGCAAACCTGCATGGGAAACTGTTCCATTTACTTAATGGAAATCCGTAGTAATTACTCCACATTTCTTTCACCAGGTCATTCCAATTTGTTTTACTAAAAGATATATATATAAATATAACAGAACACAATAAAAGATAATTATAAGTCAAACAGCCTATACATCAAATGCAGTATAATAATATATTCAGGAGTGATGTGATAGTATAACAAATTTTTTATAAGAATTACAGAAATGTGTTATGTTTTCTCTCTTACTTCAGGATAAAAGTTAAAAAATTACATTAAAAAAGGTTTTTAAGTCTAACAGAAGAGTTTTACAAAAGTTATATCTTTTTTTTTTAAGCCATAATACTTAACCTTAATACTTTAACCATATTATACTTCAAATTTACTAGTGCAAGTCGTCAGTCTTTGGACTAAGAGGAGACGTTAAAAAATAAATTAATCAGACATCAAGAAAATATTATTGATAACTAGACGATATCACACCAGAAACACCAGAAATAAACAAACCATAAATTAAAAACCAACCACGGTAATGAGTTTAGAGCAATCAATGACGTAATATAAATAACTGAGTTAATGACAATAACTAAAAAATAAAATTAAATAAAAATATGAACAGTGAGACATGCCTCATAATGTAATAATAACTCCCACCAGTTTTCCAATTCCTCCCTATGCCAGACAGAATGAGACAAATTCAACATTATCTCATATTTATATTTATGCTGTTTTGTGATATTTACTGGGTAGGCCCGCCACACCAGCCACCGTTAGCTTGCGTGCAACTAGTCTAATCTAAGAACACTTTAAAAAAAAAAAAATTTGGCTAAAAAATTACTAGTGCTGGATTTAAATGCCTTGAAAATATAAAAAATGCATTTATGACGAAAAAACTCTTAAAAATTTACCAAATATCAAGTTAATTTTGTGAATCATTTTATTTAATAACCAGTTTACCTCATGTTGTTTAAGTACAATACTACAATATGTGTAATAATTTAATAATATTATAGATTTTTTTTTCTTAATATTATTAAAAAGTTAGCTCAAAAATAAAATAATACCCAAAAAAAGTGTAATTAAACAAAAAATCCTCAAAACATGTCACCAAAAGATAATGTAAAATGTAACGTAGTGTATACTTATAACACATTTATATATTGACTTAGGCAAGCATCATGTTAAGCATTTCAGAAAGAAAATGTATATGTAGATCGAAATCTGAGCTCTAATTATTACATACAAATTTATGAAAAAATATATTTTTTACATTTAATAAAACCAAATTATTAGTCCGTATTCTAAGTAGGTAGACATTGTCTCATATTTTCCTATGACTCTTTGCCCCTTTAGATACCAATGAATAATAAAATAAAATATTTATTTTTCATTTCTCAATATTTTCTTAATGCGCATAACTATATTAAAATGTTATATTCTTACATAGTATGCATTTTAATGTCAATCATAGATTTGTAGAGTTCATCACATGTATTGAACCCAGCCATGTGTTGTTTCATTTCAGTCAGTTGGTCATTTGGTAATCTTTTACCTGTCTTGTAATGGCTATTAATACTGTCAAATGTATCTTTATCGTACAACCTGGAGAAATAATTAATATTTTAAATACATACAAGCATCAGTATCGATATTTCATCTAATATTAATTACCAATGAATCATAAAATTACTGGTTATTCCAACAGCATCCCATTCGACATTACTCAAACCAGATACTTCAGCATAATGCACTTGACAAAGAACATTTTGCAATAAATGCCCAAACTAAAATTTATTTTACAAAATAATATGAATAATATGAGTTATATTATATCAACAAACAAGAAATTTACTTTTCCAAATAAGGTTTTCACTTGATCGAAACTCAATAAACTTGGGTTTTTATTCTGCATTGACGGGAAGTTCATTATTAGGGCTGTTAAAGGTAATACTTTTTTTGGTATTGATGATGCAGGCCTATGAGTTACTAACCAACCAGGTTCACCAACAGCTTTCATTTTTTGTGGCCTGAAAATTAATTTCTCATAACACATTCACTTCCAATTTAGATTTTATAATGCATACCGAGAACAGAGGTCTAAATAAAATCCAGCCACAATAGAAGGGTCATTTTCGTGTATTATTTCATAATATTTGACATCAGGATGCCAGACATCAGCTCTATTCGGCATTTCTAAAATGCGTATTCCATAGAGTCGTCTACATAGTTCAAAGAGACCATCTAAAACTCGGTCTAATGGGAAGTACTCAGACCACTGAACTTCATCGTAACTAAAAAAATAATATTTATTATACATAAATGGATAAAAGACGACAATGTGAAGAATTCAATTGGAAACATAACTAACCCAAAGAGTTCTTTTTTTTGTAATCTTGCCCAGTAACTAACATCCCACATTTGAATAGGATATTCGTTACCCTTTTTATTTGAAAAATTTTGTAATGATTCTATTTCTTTGTCTTGTAAGGGTCTTGCTGTAAATAATCAATTATTGCATAATAGTTTAGGTACATAATAAATTTGAAATATCTGAAGTAAATAACTCTCAAATATGTTGATAATTGTTGTACAATTAATCAATATAATTTTAAATAAAAATACAAAGCATATTGTAATTTACCTTTATCCAATATTGTCAATAATGTATTTTCTATTACTGAAATTGAAGGTGCCATTTTTGTAATCAATGATAATTCGCCATAATTTTTAAACCCCAATTTTTCAGCAGCTTCAAGTCTATAATTTATAATATTTAATACATATTAATGAAATAAATAATAATAATAATAATAATCAATCATTTAAATACATAAACTAGTATTGAATTATTTTCTTTTAATTATTCAGTAGAAATGTACTACATTTAAATAGGTCAATATACAAGTTAGAGATGAATTAAGCAATTGCCACAACGTTACAACGCAAAAACTTGATTTTGAGGTTTTTACTAAATATATTGCACTAAGCCATCACAATATCACAACTTTAATTCAAGATTTAATTAGACCTTTCAAAGAAATCAAGTGTAAAAATTCCAACAAAATAATCCTACTCCAACTTTTTAATGAAATAAGGAAATTGTCTTAAGTTTGATAAATAATGATAATAGTTGATACCACATTTTTTATTTTATTATTATTATTATATTTTACAAGCTGCAAAAATGTACAACTCTATTTCACCAAGGACAAAATGAAAAAACATAAAATAAGACGAAATTCAGCTTGTGTAGACGAATATGCTTTATGTCTGAAATATTACTCCAAACATATAATACAATCGATAATCAAATAACTTAAACGCCGTGATCTTATGAAAATACAAAATACAAAAACGAGTTTTTCTCAAAACCGTTCTCCGGTGACTTACCGTGTTTTCGCTTATGACGGCAGTATGTAAGTTGAATAATTATTACTAATTTTCAAGTAACAAGTATTTATTGTTGTCAACAATTTTTTAAAAATTCATAATTATTATTTAATTTACCTTAATTTTCGGATTTCTTCAACTTCTAGGCCATTATTAAGTTCTCTTTTTTCGTCAGCAGGTGAACCAGCCTTTTCATAAGCTTGCCAAACATTCCAACGTAAATCTCTGTCAGGACAATACTCAATAAATCTATCTGCAGTACCCCATGTCAAGGCGACTTTCCATGGACGTTTCTTAGGATTATTTCTGTAAAATGAACACAAATAATAAATTTTTTTTAATTACGAGATTATATAATATAAAATTTTACTTATTTAGTGCCATTAATGTCAAAAGGTCTTCTGGAAAATCTTTGACTAGTTGTGGATTATCAATTATTTGTTGAAATTGACTCCATGCCATCTAAAGGTATAATATTCATTTACATACCACAATTTGGAAGTCATTAAATTTTTTAATGGTACCAAAAAAAAAAAAAAACTATTCACTTGAAACTAGTTTTTTCTTACAATATCTGACAATATTTATCATATCTGGTTTAAATGAGGCACACTTATTTTGTGGACTGAATCAATGATTAAACGGGAATGCTAAAACAGGCATTATGCTTACTTACATAAAAGTAGGTACATTTTTTTTAGACCAAAATGATCAAGTTTAATCCAATTAAGGTAAAAAATGAAAGGATATACCAAATTATATAAAAATTGCAGCCTGCAGGTGAATATATTTGTTTAATTGCAATAACCAAATCAATACAAAACATTATAAATGGGTAAGTCTTACTTCTAAACGAATTTTAAAATATTTTTGCTTAGCACTGCATTTTTGTTTATTTGCTTTAAATGAATAATCAAGTTTTTCACTAAGCTCAAGTCCATTAAGTTTTCCTTCTTTTATAAATTTATTTACAACTGCTACTTGTTCTTCAGTCAATTTAGACAAATCAGCTTTCTAAAACAAAGTTGTAGATTATTTGATATTTATTTACACAAGAGAATAATTCAATTTAATAAAATAATACTCACTTTACATGCTTCATAAATAGGTTTGCTGTTGTATTTTGTTGTATGAGACATACATGCTTTATTGTGTATTGGATAATATATTCGAGCCGGCATTACTGAACTGTCAGCTAAATATAATGTTTTTAATACTGCCCATATTTGATCAAATTTATGACTAAGGTTCTCAATTGGTTCTAATACATCTTTAAATAAGTCATATTTTCCATCTTCAACTAAAAAGATAACCAGTTCATAAGTAAAGGCGTATTTTTTCTAATAATCATTATAAAAAATGATATTACCTGAGTTAAGGTAATCTTCAATATCGCGTATGCCGCATTCAAAATCAATAAACTGATTACTAATTGTGTTCTCACATTTTTTGATATCTAAGCCCGTTAAAACTTGGCATGGTCAGCATTTACTTGTAAAAGACTTTCTGTTAAATCTTTACTGATTTCTGGCAATCTAAGACAGTGAAATTTAATTATTTATCGTATTCATTCAATATTAACACTAATTGAGTAGGGGAACAATACCATAATAAATCACAATTAATGTTATAGGTACCTAGTGATATTTATTAATCAAAAATAATAATAGTTGTTTTTGGTAGTATTTTTTGTAAGGATTTTAAATCTTATATAAACCCTTAAACTAATTTTAGCATTAATATTTTGTTCTAATTGGTTACTTACAAAAATATATCCATTTCGACTAGGTACTCTTGTAAGTGCCACAATTCTTGTGTTTTGGTAATATGTTTTGACCCAATCTTGTGCACCGTTGAAACCAAAACCAATTTTGTAATAATAATTGATTGACTTAACTATGTAAAAATCTAATTAAATAAGTTTTTAGTTTAGTATTCGATTTACTAGTATAATACAAAACAAATGAGTGCGTTTGGTTTACATTTAATAGCTTACTATAGTTGAGTTATACAGTATAATATAATATCGATGTTTGCTTGCGCTTTAAAAAAAATAAAAATGAACTTTCTTATCACTTAGAATTTATCAATAATATTTTAAGGTTAATACTTATTATTATTATTATTATTATTTTATCATAGTTTATCAGTTATCACCAATGTTATTATCTATGGATATTATTATTATTATTATATTATTATTATCAAGGATATCAAGCTGGATGTGGATACTGCTACGATTATATATTATACGTTTATTAACTGTATATCCACTAATAATAATTAATATCCAGTATCCACTTTTATTTTGACTTATTACCTTTATATTATAACTGGTTATTATTTGTTACTTCTTATATTTGTGACTTTATATAGTTATAGGCTGTTGTTTGCACCAAAACCTACAGGTTCAGGATTAGTATTAAATTAATATTTAAAATTTTAAAAATATTAATATTAATTATGAAATAGGTACCTACCTTCATAAATATTCTTTTTATTTTAATTATTTTTGTTTTTAAATTATATGTTTAGAAAATATATTATGTTGACAAAAAGATGTTAAATGCTTTTCCTCAAATATCCCACACAAATTTAATCAATATACTGAAAGATATGCCTGGACCTAAAGACTTAGTTGTAGAACATAGACTTTTTAAACCCCTTGAAATGTTCATCGATATGAAAAGCTTAAGGTATGATCTTTTTGAAATTTTATATTATAATAAAAATGTATTTTTGTTAAAGGCTTTATGGGGTGGAAAAGGTATATAAACTGCAAGAATCGATCAACCCAATTACCGATCGGCAGTGTGTCTTTTTGGTGTCGTCTAATCTACCAGCCACAAAAATTATATGCGATCTCATTAACTCGTGTCTAAGTAGGACAAGCATACCTGAAGATATTATAAATTATTCTTGTTCCCAGGTCAATTGATTACTATTGAAAAACAATTTGAAGAAGGAATGGTGTCTACGGGTACATTCAAATTTGAATTCCCGTGGATTTCATTCATTTAGGAGATTCATTACTATCATTGGAGATGATAGATTTCTACAAAAATGTATTTGTCGAAGACAACCCAGTCGTTGTTATTGCCTGTTGCCAAAGCCTTGTGGACAGCTTTTATGGTTTTGGGGTTTCCTAAGACTGTATGTGTAAATGGAAAGTCATCTACCGCTGTTTATAAATTATTGAATAGATTTTTTACAGATAGAGGAAAGCCTAGCATTAATAGCGGATCATGCTTTTGTATTTTAGATAGGGATTTTGATTATGCAAGTGTTCTGTTAACTCCTTGTACATATGCCAGTCTTTTAGATCAAGTAGTCGGTATACAAAACGGTATAGTTGAGATAAAAAAAAATGATGGAACTACATCTATAAAAAACTTGTGTAACCCCGATGAAACATACGAATATGTCAAATACAAGCAGTTTGGTGATGTGTTAAATTACTGGAAATCAAAATCCAAGGAATTGCAGGATAAACTGGAAAAGAGCAAAAAACTGCAGCTAGATGAAATGAAACAGTATGTTACTCAAGAGTTACAGAGTGTCTTAATGTCAAAGAAAAACCTTACGTTCCATATTGATGCGTCTGAAGTTGTATCAAAAGTAATAGGTGATAAATTTATTGATTATATTACACTAGAAAAAAATATGTTAGAAAACAGAAGTCGCAAAGAAAACTTAAACTGTATAGAAGATTTGTTGGCATTTGGAAAAGGTAGTGCCAACAATATACTGCAGCTCATATGTTTATTTTCACAATCCCAAGATGGATTTACTTCAATAGAATTAAATAATATTAAAACAAAATTTTTACACCAATATGGATTCAAGTATTTTGAGACATTCCATGTTTTAGAGAAAATGAATTTAATAGTAAAACAAGAAAATAGCTCGGTATTAAACAGTAATTTAAATAAAATTATATCCATTAATAAAACCAAGCAAATGATGCAAAACATGATGCAGAAATTAAGGCTTGTAGATGATAGCGAGCATTGCATGAGTGCAGCATTTGGTGGATCATATGTCCCCGCTATTGGTAAACTAATAGAGATTATGTGTAAAGAAGAAATGCCCGAGGAAGAAATTGTTAAATTATTATCTAACTATTCATTCCAAGTTAATGACTTTAAGACTGGTATAAAAACTGTATATGTTATGGTAATTGGAGGTATAACATACGCTGAACAAGCGGCACTTCATTTTTTAGAAAAATCACTGAGTATAAAAATTATTATTTTCAGCACAAATATAATTAATGGAAATATTTTAATAAACTCTTGTTTGTAGTATCAATATAAATTACCCATAGATAGCAAATTATTTTTAATTGTTTACAAAAAAATGTTTAATTATTATGTTCAGTATTTATTTTGTATATTTCCAATGTGAAATAAAAGACTATATAAAAATTATTGAATAATGCATTAATACTGTAATAGAGAATTTTATATTAATATTTAATATGTGCAATAGTTGGTATATGTGTAATATTATAGCGAATAATAAATTATTGTTTATGTATAATTGTTATTTGATTGATTTTAAGATGTTTTAGTATTATTATAAGTTATTACTCTGTAGGTACTTATTTATTTCATAATTATTGTGATTCGTGAAGAGGATAATTTAATATCACATAAAGCCATTTCCTATCTAACTAGTTATTACATGCTAAATGCTAATTATTATTTATTATTCAATTTTATAAACTATAAAAAAGTTAGTTTAGGTATAGTCAGTGGCGGATAGGGCTATTTTATGTTACCGGGAAATTAATTCAAGGGGGGCCCCGAATGGAAGGGCCCCAAACATTTTTTACTCGCTCCGCTCGCAGTACGATCACTAATCAGATTTTGTAATTTTGTGTACACTGTTTGAGGATGTAAAAAAAATTAATAGTAGGCTACAATTCTAGCCGGAGGCCTAGTCCGCGATCCGACCCCGGCTATATCAACTGTACTATTTATAATCAATGATTATACGTACAATACTACAATGTCATGTATAATTAACGTAAACGCAAAAGTAGTTTTTTTCATTATTATTTATAATTATAAACCAATAAAATAAACCATTTTCTAATTTGTATATATAGTCTGTTCATTTTAAGAAGCGATTCGGCGGCCACTAGTAAAACCGGTTTTCAAGCGTAAATCAGGTCGCTTCTTATTTTGAACAGGGTATAGTTTGATATTATATAATTGTTTGATAAATAACATTTCAAACATAAAATACGGTATTGAGATAGGGGCCCCATAATTAGGTACGGACAGGGGCCCACCGGGAAAATCCCGATTTCCCTATAGGCCTATCCGCCCCTGTTTAGGTATAGTGTAATGGAAATTATTTTTTATATTACCTATTTACATACAATAGATAAGTATAGGTACCTTTAGTGTTACCTGCCTACTTGAGACTTACCTACTAAAGTTTCCCACATAAGTACATAACCTACCTATTACAGTGGTTGATTAAGAGTGATTATAGTGACATGATAAATTTATTAACTAAGTTAAATTGAGAAATGTGTTTTAAAAAAGGTGCTCTGCTCTGCAGTAGGTTACAAGAGGCTCACTGTATAATGGATGGTATTAAATTTGAATTCAATGGTATAATATCATTGTATAAGAAAAACGATTCTGAGCGGAGATAATATGTCAGTCTAGGTATAAGACATTATATAATTATCTATGGTATTAAAAAAAATTTACTTATAATAAATTCCGAATTAATCATATCACAATATCCATTAGGTACTTATAACGCGTTATACATCAACAATAAACCCTGATACTATCATAGATATATAATAGTGTACTTAAGAAGTTTCAAGTACCCACGAATCAGGCCCTATTTTTATGTGCACCACGACACACAATGTGCACTACGAATATACAAGTGTGCACTACGATTTGAACGTGTGTGCACTACGGTCTACAAAACAAAAATTGCCAAGTCAGGGATCGGCATGTAAACTTTCTTGATTTTGAATTTTTAGAAATTTTTTAACTGATTTAATCACACCCGAGCGGTCAAACAATATGAATCCAGAAAACAGCCCCACAAAAAATCATTTTTATTTAGTGAGATAGATCTCCGAAACCGGACAGCGGATTTCGTTGATTTTGGTCTTGTTAGATTCACATTGGTTAGGAGAAGTGCAGTGAAGATTTGCAGAACTTTATCTTTAATAGTTAATTCACTACAGAACATTAAAATAAATTAAAACAAATTTTATTGGGCGTTTTTTTATGTTTTTCATCTTTACAGCTTTGTAATGAATTTACGATTTTAGATAAAGTTCTGAAAATCTTCACTGCAATTCTCCTAGCAAATGTGAATTTAACAAGACCCCAAACAACAAAATCCGTTCTCCAGTTTCGGAGATCTACATCTCTAAATGAAAATCTAGAGAAAATAACTTTTTTTTTTTTTATCTGTGAAAAATTAAATAATTTAAAAAAAAAAATTAATTCCATATTTAGTGTCTACCTGATAATCCCTTTTTAATGAGTTATCAACCAAATTTCTAGCTAGGTATCATAGTTTAGGATAAAAGTTAAAAAATAGAAATTTTGGGACTGTTCACGCGAATGTTTTTATCGATTCAAATTGGGTATACCGCTTGGGTGTGATATAAAATCTCTCTTATTAATATTTTATATTAAAGCTAGCTAAATTACCCACCTATTCATCATTACTGAGTTAAATTTTTATTATTTTCCTATTTAACACAAATTCTTGAAGTTTTCAAAGTTCAGACTTTTTTCATTTCAATTACTATAATACTTACTTGATGAAAAATCAAGAAAGTAATATGCATTGTTATGATTTTAATTATTAAAAAGTTAAGTTAAGGTTTTTATTATTATATTATGCTATTTAATTCTTATGATTTTTATTAAAAGATAAGTATTTTGTTGTTTTATTGAATTGCATTGTTAAATTATTGTATACATCATGTAATATGTATTATGTAATACATTCCTTTTGCTAAGATGGTAGCGAGAATAAAATGAAACGTGCAGTCCGAAATTTTACAAATAATAGGGCCTACATTTGACCTATATTTGTGGAATATTATATAATCACAACAAAATAACTAAAATAGTTATTCTAGGTTTTTATTATGTAATTTCGTCCAAATTTGAACTTAAAATGACTATAAAAATAAACTACTGTGCTTCTGTATTTTTTAGATTTTTTGGTAACAGAATTAAATACTTACATGGAATCTTTTTTTAAATTATCAATTTTTAGATATAAAAGTTGAACATTTTATAAATTATTAAATTTTAAATTTGATAAATTTTGTCAAAATTCGATTTTTAAATGCTTATAAAAAAAATTGTGCCTATGTATTTTTAATATTTTTCAACTGATATTGTAACAATATATCAGTAGCCTTGTATTAAATTTTTTCACTTTTGGCCCAACAGATAAAACTTTATTGATATTTATAGAATAAAAAACTAAACAAAATGGAAACTGAAAATGTCCCTATACAGCTCAAATTTAAAAATAAGTCAAAATATTTTAAAAAAGGCATGGTGTATAGAAAATGCTAATATAAACAGTTAGAAAAAATTTCATGTATCTATAGTAATTTGTTTTAGAGTTAAATCAAAAACAAATATTTTCTCGAAAACAGATTTTGGGTAAAAATTCCAGTTTTTCGTTAATTTTCCTTTTGTATTTCACGTCGCTTTTGAAAACTACTGGGAAATTTTTACTTTTGACCCCCCAAGCTCCAAAGTACCAACTGGATTCACTTTCCTATCAGAAAAGATACGGTTGAAGAAAATCCAAGCACTTTTACTGTCCTAAAAGGTGATGACAGACACAAAAGAAATAAAAAACACACATCATTGTAAAATCAATACATTCATCGTTCCACTTAGAATCTAAAAATAGAAACCT